ATAGCGTCGTTTATACCATTATCAGAGAATGAAACATCAACAACAACTACAAATGAAACGTCAACAACTAATGAAATATCAACAACAACAAATCAAACAATTTCAATCTCCAGAATTAACGAAACGCCCTTACTGAACAAAACTCTTTCTAGTGTAGAAGATGATGATAGTAACAAAACATCAACAACAACAATTCGCGAAGATAATTACTTCAAAATACATCAACAACAACATCGAGATGACATCAACAGTTACAACATCACACGCCTTAGCAGCCTTTCTGTAAACAATTTCACTAATAGCACCAACAATAACGTCACTGAAGTTCAAAATTACACTAGAAACATCAACAAAAACATCACAAACGCTGACATGAACATAGCTAAAGACATGAACAACACCTCAAACATTAGCAACATCACAACAATCGCATCATTTAACACCAACAACATTACTATGAACTTCGCAGGCATCAACAACAACAGCAGCAGCAGCAACAACAACAACTCCATCAACTTGACAAATATTCCAAACAACTACAACTACTACAAAATCATCAATGTCACATCAAACTTTACGAACGCCAACAACAACAACTCCATCAACTTGACAAATATTCCAAACAACTACAACTACAACAAAATCATCAATGTCACATCAAACTTTACGAACGCCAACAACAACATCAACAAAAACAACAACAACATCAACAACAACAATAACAACATCAACAACAACATCAACAACAACAAAATAACAACAACAACACTAATTCCGAAACTTTTACAACTTTTTGGCAGAGCTAATCATTTGAAAATGAACGTAAAAATGTTCACCTTTGTAAATTTTCTTCTGTTGCTGTTGCAGTTTCAATGATTTGACTTTTCTCTTTCATATAGTGACTACACGCGCGCACAAAATTTAGATTTAAATTATTCACAATTGTAATTATAATTATTGTAATTATAATTATAATTACTAAAATTATTATTGATTTATTTTAGGCACCGTTTCGCTTGTTATTCGTTGAACGTTTCATAATAAAATTTGTGAGTATCCTCTATCCTTGTTTATTAACTAAGACAAAATAATAATAATAACAATATTATTATTATTATTATTATTAAATATTGATGTTATTATTGTTATTAGTTAATCACAAACACAACACCAAAAGCAGAGAGAGAGAGATAGAGAGAGAGGGAGAGAGAGAGAGAGAGAGAGAGAGAAATTGAAACATTGAAAATATCGAAATGTTTGAAAAAAAATTATCTTCATCATAATTTTCTCGTCTGTATTATCATCCTTCTACATCTGTTCACGCCTCTGTTCGCTTCTTTGTTCACTCATTCATTCAATCGTTCATTCATTCATTCACTTATTCATTCACTCACTCATTCACTCACTCATTCACTCCTTCTTGCAGAACAACATTTTCAGCGCTCTATGAAACTGATCGTATTTTAGGAGATAAATAACTGGATTGACGCAGCAGTTACCAAAGACCATGATTACGGAGATATCGTAGGTGACGTCATTCAGCACGGGTACGATGAGTTTGAGATTTAATAACAGGAAGTAGACCTGGGTTTAAATGAAATTTTGTGATTGGTTAGTTTGTTTGTCAATTCATTCTTTTATTCATTCCTTTCCTGTTCATTTGTGCATTGATATATTGTTTAATTCACTCACTCACTCACTCATCACTCACTTATTTACTCATTTACTCATTCACTCTCTCACTCACTCACTCACTCACTCACTCATTCATTCATTCATTCATTCACTCAATCAATCCTACCTGATTAAGAGTCCAACAGGCCACGAAGCTAAGTGAAATAAATATGGAAGTTCTTAAAACATTATCCCTAGCTCTATGCATGGTTGTATTATTATTATTATTGTTGTTGTTGTTGTTGCTGTTGTTGTTGTTGTTGTTGTTGTTGTTGTTTGACGCAATTGTCGCAATGGAAGTATCGTCCGTAACGCTTTCTTTACCAAAATTATTATTATTATTATTATTATTATTATTATTATTATTATTATTATTATTATTATTATTATTATTATTATTATTATTGCTCCCGACTTTCACTTTCTTATGTAGTGACCATGCTATTTTTGAGTACAAATAAATTAGGATGAGGAGTGGAAAGAAGTATTGGACCACCAAATTGAAGTACCCTGAATGAGTGAACGAATGAACGAGTGATTGAATGAATGAGTGAATGAATGAATGAATGAATGAATGAATGAATGAATGAATGAACGAATGAACGAATGAACGAATGAACGAGTGATTGAACGAATGAGTGAATGAATGAATGAATGAATGAACGAACGAACGAACGAACGAACGAATGAATGAATGAACGAACGAACAAACGAACGACTAAATGAATGAATAAATAAACGAATGAATGAATAAATTATTATACAAGCGAACCCACCGTAAAACTGCCTGGAACTCTCATTATCAAAAATCCTGACGATCATACATGCTCCATCTTCCGAAACCCCTGAAGTCAGTATGACCCCAATGTTATAGATGGGGCCTATGAGAATGGCTACACCTTTTATTGTTGGTTTTGTTTATTCATTTTGTTCATTCATTTATTTGTTCATTCTTTTATTCATTCATTCGTTCGTTCGTTCATTCTTCCATCGAGTTATTTATTTATGTTTATATCCATCCATCTAAGCCCATTTTATTTGTCTATGATTTAGTGGCGCTTATGAGTTTCAACAATTAAAAATCTCTGTACATAAATTTCCGATATAATGGGAACATCCTTTTATTTTCTAACTCCAAATACCAAATATTAATAATGAAATAATTATAAAATCCTATTTAATCTAAATAATAATAATAATAACAATAATATGCTCATTCGCCCCTTCATTCAGGCACACACTCGTTCGTCTATTCTTCATTCATTAATTCATTCATTCAATAAATCATTCATTCATTTGTTCATTCATTCATTTACTCATTTACTCATTCATTCATTTACCAACCAATCAAAAGAGCTGTCATCCATTTTGAGTGAGAGAACTTGTTTCTATGAAACACCGGATAGACTATCGCTATGTACCTTTCAATCATTTAGTATTATTAATACTACTACTACAACTACTACTACTACCACTACTACTACTACTACTACCACTACTACCACTACTACTACTACCACTACTACCACTACTACTACCACTACTACCACTACTACTACTACTACCACTACTACTACTACTACTACTACTACTACTACTACTACTACTACTACTACTACTACTACTACTACTATTTGAACTATTTTATTTGTACTACTCATTCTATACTAAACAACTGTTTACTGCTGAGCTGCAATTGCTTCTGCTACTACTACTACCATCATCATCATCATCATCGTCGTCGTCATCATCGTCATCATCACCATGATAACCTCTCAATAGTAATAGCCAGCGTGACGTAACTTGAAGACATGAGACTTGCCCATAGGGGCATCTTTGTGATCCAAACCTTGCAGTCCACAACATCCCAGCTGCTACTTCTGTAGAAAATTCTCCCTCTGCGATAAAATAGCGTAGTTGTAGCTAGAAAAAAAGCTACAAAGCCATCCGCAAAGCACTGAGCGAATATGTAGTAGCTACTAATTTGTTTATGCATTGGTTTATAGGCTAGGATTATAGCTAGAATGAATAAGTTGGCTACGAAGCCGGCTAAGCCCATTGTTGTGTAGAGGATGAAGACGTAGGTTGTGTAGCTGAAAAGTTTTAGTGGCTCAGCGGTTGTGGCGTTTGTGGTGGCGTTCGTAGTGAAAATTGTGGTGATGTTTGTGGTGGACAGGGTGGTATTTGTGGTGGACATGGTGGTATTTGTGGCGGGCATGTTTTTGGTGTTTTCCGTTAAATTTTTTGTAAAATTTTGGGTCAAGTGAGTTGAATTTTGGTTGAAATTGTTGTTGATTTGTGATTGGACAGTGTAGTTGTTGCTGCTGCTGCTGATGTTGTTGTTACTATTATCGTTGCTGGTGGTGCTTACGTCATCACTGATGTCATTGTCGCCCAAAAAATCGTCCTTGCTCTTCTGGTTGGCAGTAACATTGCTAACGATGACGACGACGATGATGAATATGACAACTGCATTTAAATTTATTTGTAGCATTGCTGTAGCAGATGTAGTAGTAGTAGTAGCAGTAGTAGTAGTAGTAGTAGTAGTAGTGGTGGTAGTGGTAGTAGTAGTAGTAGTAGTAGTAGTAGTAGTGGTGGTAGTGGTAGTAGTAGTAGTAGTAAGTAGTAATGGTTGTAGTAGTAGTAGTAGTAGCAGTAGCAGTAGTAGTAGTAGTAGTAGTAGTAGTAGTAGTGGTAGTGGTAGTGGTAGTAGTAGTAGTAGTAGTAAGTAGTAATGGTTGTAGTAGTAGTAGTAGTAGTAATAATAGTAGTAATAGTAGTAGTAGTAGTACGTAGTAATGGTTGTTGTTGTATTAGGAAATATTTACTGTTAGAAACTAATCACTAAATCAACAATACAGCTATCCTTTTTTATGTTCAAATTTATATACACACACCGTACACACACACACACACACACACACACGCACACGCACACACGCACACACACTCACCAAGATTTATTAATCATAATTTCCGTACGTGTGGTTAATTATAACAATTAAAGTTACGTAACTACACAACTAATTTTATTTATTATTAAAATATGCATCGCCTGTCTATAATTAAGCATTTTTCAATTCCTTCGGTAATTATGTTTTATAATTATATTAATTATGTAATTATGATGGTTGTGGTGGTGATGATGATGGTAATGATAGTTTTTGATAAAAAAAAAGATACACAAGCCATTTGTTTGTTGATGTCTTTATAAGACAAGGAACTGAAATGACAATAAATTTTTGCGAAGCATCATCATCATCATCACTTCCATATTCATCATCATTATCATCATCGCCACCATAATTATCATCCCCACAATCATCATCATCATCAGTACCTGCAA